TTCCATGTTTTGGAATGATTTATTAGTTCATTAATGAATGTAATTTTTTGAATGTGTCTCGCGTAAATTATAGGGACGATTATTTTTGTAAGTTTGTAAATAAAGTAATTCAATTATGAGTCCGTCCCTTAGTTCAATTTAATTGCGTTGCCAACATATTTATTAATTAAATTCGTTCAAAGAATTGGTTGCCCCGACCGGGATACGAACTCGGTTTTGGTTAACGCCCAGTTGCTCTAAAACTGCTTCTTTGAGAAAATTTAATTATTAAATGCATTGTTACTCAGTAACGTGGTCACAATTTGGATTTCTTTACGATTGCTGAATATATTCTCCGAGCATAATTGCGTCCAACAAGGTGACGGGAATGGTGACAATTATATATACACATATTTATTTATATCTTATACTTTTCAAAATATCAAATTTAGTGACAAATTTATCGTGAGACATCCTAACGAACTGAAATAATTTTTCATCATCCATGAGGTCGGGATATACTCGTAATATGTGCAATTCCCCGTTTGTCATTGTCTTTCTATTTAGAAAAGAAGAGAATTTGTACTCTCTTAGACTCCTTGTCTAATTTCCTTCTTCTGCTACGAACCCAATGCGATTGCTTCTTTACTTAAATTATGAAGCCGTCGCGCACAATACAAGTCACGGAGTGGAGTGTTCGAAGTGTCCGTGCCGTACTCTCCTAGTCTGCGTGACCCACTCAAAAACTACCGTCATGCGGGCCTCCCCGTCCGTGCCGTACCGATTCAGTGTGCGCGAAGGTTTAGTCCATCACACGCGGTTACCACTAGACCACATCCCGTCCACCAATCTAGACATAATGAAGCGGCATTCGACGCGTCTCAGTTTCCTGGTGGGGAACTGATCATTTGTTTTGGCACCCGGCCAGAAGACTAAGAAATTTCCAAAAACGTGTGAGCATGTTTTCGCGCTGCAATCTTAGTGGATAGATCGGTAATTAAACCAAAGACATCTAAACAGATCTATGTAGGTGGCGTTGATTAAACTGAATCCAGAGACAATTTTCGCTCCATAATTTTCTTTCACGAGGATGGCAACTTGATAGTTGCCATTTTTAAGTTAAACAAAAGAATCGCACGACAGATTTTATTTTATTTTCACCCGTCTTACCATACTTTTAAAAATAAATTTGCAAAAATCTACGAACAACTTTGTCTTTGAACTTACCAAATTTGAAGAACTTCAAGTGAATACAAAGGAAAACAAACTGTGAGTTGTTGCTAAAGAATGAAAGCACATTTACGTCCTAACGTCCGACTTTTCACATTTACGTTCTTAAGCGTATAAATGTCGATTTTCAATTGAATGTGCATAACAACTTATTCTTATTAAGCTTAACTATCATCTTATTCCCATAAACAAAACTAGTAGTGTTACAGAATATCCGTGACTTTCTCGTGACAGTCAATTTTCTAATTTCTTTAGTCTGGGCTAGCATTTCGGTCTTACCACATACTCTTGCCAGCTGACACCTATCGCCACCCAAAGTAATTTTTCGGTTTCTTAATAGTAGAATCGAAATATTATTTTAAGATTATTAAATTAGAGTAAAACTTTGGGCTATAAGTAAATTTTCGTTGAAAATTTTGGAGCCGGTATTACGAAAATGTAATTTAAGCATTGTTGTTAAGCATTGTAAATTGCGAAATTTAAAGCTCTTTTTCATAGAAAACTTTTGAGTTTTCGAAAAACTTCATTGGAGGTCATTTGAAGTACATCCACTCAAAAAAAGCAATTATGTGTACAAGTCACTGGGAATGTGCATATTACCGGCGAGAGAGATATTTAAAAAATACATTTGCATAATTTTTGGAAAAAGAAAAGAATACCCCACAATGAATTTTTTGTCATCTTAAGTAGTGCATTTAGCATTATTCGTGCAAAAAGTAGCTTTTTTTTATTTGGAGCCATTTCGGAGAAATAGCGTTTCTGAAAGTTCGGAAATTTGGGCTCATTTTCAATCGGCTTTATTCAACAACAAAATCGCTCTTTTTGTCGTATTCGTTCGATTATGTCGTCATCCTTAGGATAAGGGGCGATGGATAAGGTGCAAGATCTTGCACGGCATCGGCCCTCCAAAAGCAAAGGACCCTTAAAAAGAACCTTCGCGGATGGATATCGGCAAAGAATAAAACAATTTGCACTCCAGGCTTATTTTTTTCCATTGCACCAAACATATTCATCAAACAATTATATTTAAAAGACTTTAATTTGATGTTTATTGCAATTAGGGGTCCCATTTCGACTTCCTGCATAGAAAACCTTGCTACGCAACTGCTTAGGATGTTTCAAAACTCAAAAATTATAAATACTTAACGTATTCTGAAAGTGAGTACCGTTTCATTCTAGGACCGCCGCAGCCTTGTGGTGGGGATCCTGGGCATGCGCACTAGTCTTTCTTATTCACTGGCCTTAAATTGTCGCCATTTTGATTGCTCTATGTTGTGTTTTCAGTTTGCTGGGCACATTTAAAATGTTTAAGATAATTGTTTCTCCCGCCGATTGAATTTTTGAACGGAAGGAATGTTAAACCCGCTGAAATTTATCGTCAAGTTAAGGAGTTTAAGGTGAAGACGCGATAAATGATGGAAAGGTGAGAAACTGGGTAAGAATTTACAATGAAGGTGGAATAAATGTCCACGATGAGGCTCAGAGTGGTCGGCCTACTGTTGTCACTGATGATTTGGCAAGGAAAGTTGATGAAGAAATTCATGATAAGAGACGTTTCACAATGACACTGCTTGTCGTCCGGATGGTCGGGATTGTTAAGGCAGTAGTGCCGTAGCGATATCGGACTGAAATATCGCGGGTACGAGTCCCGCCTCTGGTATGGTTGTATTTGCATTCCTCACCATCACCTTATCATATCATACTGTTAAACCATATAGTTAATCTATAGTGGTCGCTAATGACCTAGCTGTTAATGCGATCTTAGATAAAAATTTTAAAAAAGACAATGCTTTCAGATGAATTTCCACAGACTTCACGAACTATTTTGTTCAAAAACACGAGTTAGGTGGCAAGCGCTTCTCATGAGACGAAAAATGCTGTGGAGTCCTGGCTGTCGATACTAGCGGGAAGTTTCTTTGAAGATGGTGTACAAAAACTGGTCACGACAAGTGTTTGAACATTAGCGGAAACTATGTTGAAAAATAGTTTAAGAAATGTATGTATGTTTTTAAGTAAAAGTTAAATTAGCTTAAAAAAAGGAGTTTGCAATTTTTTTTTTAAAACGATACTTACATTCTGAATACGCCTCGTATTTAATCAGAACGATACCATATCGTGAAAGAAAATTCTTCCTTCAATGTGCACTGGATAAATGCTAAGGCCAGATAAAAACGATCATCATTTGTAAATATTGCACATCAATGAAGATGAAAAACTCAGCTACCGGAACATCTAGAAACTTAGAAACTTACCAAAATATGGGATATGAAATTATTATCAATATGACGTTTGTGTTCAATTATTTGTGATAATGTTTGCTGTATGTTACAAACAATAATATAAGGGGTCGATGGTACAAACAACTCTTTCAAAAGGGGTCAATGAAAGAAAAAGTTTGGCAATCCCTCTTTTATATCAACAAATCTAATATCAAATTAAAATCAATTAACCAAACATGATAAATAATAGACTCAATATCGTCAATGATTCATCTAATTTGTGTATCTTTAATTACCAAATTAATAAAACAATATGCTTACATATGGGCAGTTATATTAGACGAAGACAGAAAACTAGTATTTTTCGAATACCTCCTGTGCAACCGGCGACTTTCCCAACAACTCCACGGAGCTTGCTGCGCTTTTTGAGGCTTCGTGATCAGGGCCGGCGCTGGGTTACTTAGCGCCTCGGTCATAAGGAAATGTTTGTACCCGCCATATAATGTAGTAATAATGCGTCCCCTCTCCCCCCAGATATAAAATACTTGATTTAGAGAAATAATGTACACGCATACTTATCATTGTACAGAATATCAACGGAACATCAACAAAAGCGCTATTTGTGAGTTCAACATTTTAACGTCGATATTGACTTTAAGCACAGCGTAGCATGATGAAAAGATATCTTTTCATTTCGCAGCGCATGATGGAAAGAGATGGGCAAGCTATTCGGGGTGAGGGTGGGGCAGGGAGCACTTGCGCATCGTATGCGACTTCAGCCGATGAACTCGACATCAGTTTGCGTCAAAATATTAGTGGGAATTTCAAATGCAGCCAGATACCAAATCATCAACTCGTTACAAAAAATTGAAACAGATTAATGAAACATTTCGTTTAAATAATGCACACCTTATCGTGCTATTATTGGTTGGTTACTGTTAAAAATTGTCATTTTGTACCACTTTTAAAAGTGTTTCTCAACCCTTTTTGCTCTCCTTGCAACACAAGCTGTCTCTCACACTCACTCACTCTCTCACTGTGACTCACACTCTCACTCTCACTCACGGCTCCAAACCCCTTGTCCTTCTCAATTTAAATTGCTATTTTTTAATTTGTTTAATTTTTTTATTTATTTATGTATTTACTTAATTTGGTAAATAAAAGGGTATGTTCAAACCTTTTCATGAAATATTGTTGATATTTGCATTTAAAAGTTTTTAAAGTATAGGGAAGATATTCAGATAAACCAACATTTCCGAGAAACAAAATATTCTGTTTTTCCTCGTGATTATAGACTTGCCCAACTTCAGTGTGCGTGTGAGTGAAAACAAGGAAAGTGTAGCCTTCGGTAGTATCACGCATGCGGACACGACATAATGACAAACTAATCAAAGCACTGCCCAAACTTTTCTGCCCTAATGTTTTGTAGTATCTTTAGTATGTATAAAATTTCTTCTATTTCCAATGGAAAGTAACACTAATTACGTGAAAGTAATATAAGTTCTACATTTTTGGTGAGCGCTTGTACATTCCAATAATATGTTCGAATTTTTTCTATTAAATTTATATTTCATGTTAATTAAAGGTATTGAAAACGTATTTTCACCGATCGACTTCCCACATGTCATGGTGTTTTTGCATATTCTTTGAATTGTCAACAAAAATTTGTAAATCCATTATGGATTCCATGTATACTTTTCCGTGTTCCAGGAATAGCATGGGAGAGTGGAGGTGTCTTTGTTGACGTTTCGTGCAAACAAGTGTGTTTTGTACATTTCATGATGAAATGTGATGAGCGTGTGTACTGGCGCAAATTTGCAGTGTTTTGTTGTTTTTTTGTTGTGTTTGTGGGCGAAGTGAAAAGCGAAGAGTTACAGTGCACCAAGAAACATTTTCTGAGTCGAGTGGAGTTAGAAGGATTGCTTGCAGATCGTAAAATTTGCTGGATTAACGTGAGTAGTAAACATTCCAGTTGTATTGGCCCTTTAAATTGAAATATCGTGTAGAATATTAAGCAAAGTAACCTAATATAATATTGAATAAGAAAAATGTTTTCTTGTCATAACCTGAGATAAGTAGTGTAGTTTACAATTGTGCAATTGAAATGAATTAAAGATCATTTACAATTATTTGAAATACTTGAAGTACTTTTCTACCTAGTTATTCATTTTGTGTACTAGTGTTACTAATCTAATTCAACTAATATTTTAATTGTTGCAGAGTGAAGGACAGAATTTGACTGATTCAGATTGTATTGTATGGGATCTTGGAGAAGAGGAAGGTACGCGATATATTGGTATTTTGCAATTTATTTACTTACTTGGAATACTTGCTTCTATTTTTCCTTTCATCCTTTTCTTTAAATGCATTTCATGTAGATTGTTCTTCTCCCCCATATGTCACATATAGTTTTACTGTCTTTTACAAAATAATATAAATAAAATAAAATCTTTTTGTACTTCGTTCCAGGGGCTCATGACTGCTCTGATCTTCAGTTTTCTTCTGCTGGAGGTGCTGTCTCAGGGGTTGAATTCTACCCCTACTTTAAACCACATCCCAATTTGAACATTAGTTTCAGAAACATAGAATGGCGTTGTAAGTACTTTTTCCTTCATTTTTTGTCATAATTTTGTACATATGAGGCATATCCAGAAAATAAGTTCCTTTTTGTTCTTCTGCCACTGTAATGCTACTAGCAGGACTGTGAACATGGGGACTAGTCTTCCATTCCCACTTTCTTCCACTGACATTTCTTTGGTTCATCTGAGGTGGTGATAGCACAACATGTTTAAGTCCTTTGAAGATCCTACTTTCTGAGATTCTATCTGTATTTAGTTTTCAGAATGCTAGGAACACGAAACCTGGTAAAATTAACTGCCAAATTATTGCAATTTCTGGTAAAAATGCGGTGAACAATAGGATGGTGAGAAGGAAGGATAAGGGGACATTCAATAAGGGGTGAACAAAATAACGTGCATGATGAATTGCGGAGCTGGCAACTTTCTGTTATTAATGATGATTTGGTGAGAGAAGTTGATTAAAAACTGTAAGGTGTAACTGTAAGCTGTTTTACACTGTCAACACATTCTGAGGAATTTCCTGGTATTTCAAAAACTGTTTTGCATGATGTTACTCACAGCTTAAATTACCGCAAGTTGGGTGCCGTAAATACTTAACTATATTCACAATAACAAGCAACTTGGCATTAGTTTGGTGTTTCTCTCCCCATACAGCAATGAGGGAGAGGCCGTTTTTAGGCAATTCCAGACCAATGTTGAAAAGTAGGTAGAGACTCATGACCCCAGATAGTAAACAGGAGACAATGGAATGGTGACCACACCAAATTTCCCCAAAGACACAAATTCAGAACATCAATTACATCCCCAAAATTCATGTCAATTTAAATGAAAACTTATTGACTTTCTGTCAGAGTACCCAAGAAATTTTGTGCAGATTGTCGTCGCAAACAGGAATTTTCTTCGAGGAAGGTATACGTAATTTGATTCCAAGCTATGACAGATGATTCAACAATAGGGGCAACTATGTTGAAAAATACTTTGTCATGACCTTTCATGTAGCTGTAAAAGAGGCTTCAAAACATATTTGTGTTTGTTCTTTCAACCAAACGGAATCTACTTTCCGGACACACCTCGTATTTATACATCGTCAATGCAAACAAGCCAAGTCTATGCTAATCCATGTGTAGTTTACCAACTCCACTTTGACAAAAATGTCTCTTTTCTGGAAAACCATTGTAACTCAATAAGCATGTTTTTTTAAAAGAGAGTACAATTTAATTTTACTACTTTTGTATCTCTATAGTCGATAAGGAATGTCTCCGTACTGCACTCAAGCATTTGTGACCTCGATCACTGGTCTGACACTTTGTTTTTACTGTATATCTGTCTTTGCAGATATGCAGTATCGCCTGCAAGTGGGCAATCAGGCCAAGGTATGTCACAAACTGCAATTCAACCAAACTGCATCTCCGTTGGAGACCTTGCGCCTGTCCTTTGCTTGTCAAACCTTTGGCTGGTGGGCTGCTGATGTCAGTGCAGAGATGATGGTGAATTTTGGGTACGGCCCTTCAGACATTTCAAGTTATGGCTATTTTGTGATGAAAATTCCTCCTCACGAAAAGAATATAAGTAAGTATTATTTTAATACTTTCTTTGTCAGAAAAAACTAATGACATTGAGCATGGCATTTGAGAAGGATTAAATATTAACATAGCCCGTTTGACCGGCCATTGCTGCAATCATTTTTAGAATCACAGGGAAGCTTGATTAAATCAAAGGTCAAAGTGCTTCTTGAACTTGGGAGCAATGTAGATACAAGCAGTTTATCAAATTTTTGGGTTGCTTTAGGGCAGAATGCAACCATCATTTAATCCTGCTACATCGTTTGCTTTTCCTATAAGTAAGGCGTTTGGGTTGAAATTTGTATTTAGTTTGTAAAAACTTATTCAATTTTAGAATCATAATTTAAATGGAGACAAACATTCAAACTGAATTTGAACACTTACCTACTATGTCAGATACCGATTTTTATGAGACTTCATCAACTTCACCTATAATTAAAGATGTATTCAGTAAAATTTTGAAGCGCTTCTGCCAATTAGAAGAAGAATTATGAACAAAAATTAAGTGCCATAAGGTCACTGTTAGCTGCTGAGCAGGAACATGCAAGGAATTGTGAAAGCTGTGGGCCAATGCAGCTTCTGACACCAAGCGCAACCTCGGATAAGCCTAGTCCATAGATAGCATGATCTCATCCACAGAAATGCAAAAATTGCTTTTCAAGTTGTCAGTGCACAAAATGTGATATTAATGTACAAATATAAAATCATTACTTAACAGTCATTAATATTGTGAAATATATAATATACCAAACAATTTCTTTTGCATCACATATTACGGTATCATTATCTTGATGGTTTTTTATAGTAAAAATAGGATAATAACAGAACACGCTTAATCAAAAATACATTGAGTCGAAATTTGAAATGCATTCGACTTTTAGAAAAACTCACCTTTTTCTCAGTGGGTGTTTTCACTCCTAGTAGTTTGGAAATTACTTTGCAAAAGTGATTGTCTGGCCTAGAGCAGTAACAAGCGAGTTTTTGAAGAATAGAGTCATTACAGTATCTGCACAGGAGGATATTGGAATGTACCCACATGAACATTACAAATCTAAAAAAGTGTCAGCATAATTTCAAACCAAATTATTTTTCACGCTTTCCTGTTAATATATTTTCTCACCAGGTGAAAATGTGAAGACTGCAAAATAGGTAATTGATGGAAATGATGCTAAAATTCAGCAGATCTAAATATTGTGTTCAGTCTGATTTGCAGTCAACTAATCGGAAAGCTGATTTTCACTCTTGAGCCGGGAAGGCTGCACGGCCATAGATGGTTAAGGTTGACTCTTTGCCTCTGAAAACATAGCTATTATTAACTTACTTGACTGCCCGGTAGACGCTTCATCTTAGGCACAGGTGCCAACCTTTCGCTTGCCATTCTGCGACCTTTCTCAGGGCATCTGTGCCTTGGATGCAGTGTCTCCTGGACAGTCAAACAGTTACTGACTTCAGCTCTGGAAGCTTACGCTCTCATATACCCCTTTCTTGGCCTTCACCTGCCACTAGTGCTGACCTAACGTCTGACTGTGTCATAATGAACCTTTTTTATTAATTGTCAAAAGCACTCCAAAATTTGTGTACACATTTGATTATACACTATCGGATATTTTCATAAATATTCAGGGGTCCAACAATGTGAGTGTTGCGTGTAAAAACACAAAAAATATATTTATTTTCGGAAACAAGCATGCAGATAGAAGAAAATTGAAGGAAAAATATATTTTCTTCTTGAAAGCAGACACTGAAGCTTGCACAAATGATTTTCAATTTGGCATGTAGAATTATATCTTTGAACTTATTCTCTTAATACTTTTTCATTAGATTTAAAGTGCTGCACAGTTGAGCAATGGAAATGGGGATGCTAAAAGAATTTAACAGTGTTACACTTACACTGGCACAAAATATAATTTATTGTGAACAGTGCACTGCGAGTTGTCATATTTTCTAAAACTGCATCTCTTTGTTTGCCATCTATTCCATCTTCTTCATTTTTATCCTTTACACATTAATATGAACAGTACTTTCTACTTCCAATGACTGAATATAGTTAATCTAAATTATCACTTTCATTATTCAACCTCACATTGTAGGACAATTTCAAGGTTTTTTTGAAAACAAATATTCTGCCTACAACATTCAATTTTTACATGTTTTGAAAAATGAGCTCAAGAGATTCTACTGTATTCCTGTTAACTTAAAAGTGAACATGTTGTGTGTATAATAATTACTATATTTTATGAAAAATTTATGTGAAAATGGTCATGACTGACTTTTTTATCTATGAAATACGCATTGAAAAGAAATTCTAAATGGCTCTTCAGGAATGGTTAAACACTATTTTTGAAATATTAATGTAATGTTCTTTTGTTTTGTAGACTCCTCGGATAAATCCCTTTCCATCAGGGATTGGTACGTGTTGGTTGCTGTTGATATTTCACAAAAGCCATATCTGAATGTTTATTGGCCAACAGTTCCCGATCATTACAATGTCACAGAGTACAAGGTTCAAATTGGTGATGATGAACCGGAGGTAGGTCTGTTAGAGTGTCTGTGTAAACCTTTGAGCATGATGATGTACTACTGACAGTATTGTTGCTTAGAAATAATGATATTTTTCTACTCCCATTGTATAATTTTGTCATTTGATGACTGCAACCCATTGCAAAATGATACCCATTATGATACAGGTTCTTGATCAATCACAGAGATGTTTACAAACCAAGTAATGAAACTTAATTAATCATTGAGAATTGGTATAGCAAATGTTTTGTTTGAATGTGTACATTCAAATTGAATTTAATATTATATTACGCTTGTTAGTTTTAATTTCTTTCCTTATAAGTAATTTTTTACGTGGAATATTATTTAAAATAAATAAGATCGTAATTTCACTTTGTTCCTATTTGTCTAGTGCAGTAAATGAAAGCCACCTGCGGCAGGGTACGGAGCTGAGTGCTAGGTGGTCTTAAATGAAGCCTGCAGATCAACTGCATTGAAATGATTCAGTGTAAAAGTTCAACTTATGAAAGTTACTACAAGTCTTAGAAAAGTACCGTTTGACTCGATATAATGGTATTATTACACTTGTGTGAAGTTGACGATACTCGCTCGTTCCTCGCTCTTATTGTAACCTCACACTCGTGTATTAATACCCATCATTACATCATTTCATTATGTATTATTTTGTGTATTTATCAAGCTGGATTCATCAAACTTGCAAACAAAAAAGCCTTGTAGGACATGTACTTGAAAACATCTATCTATCTGGGAATTTGCATGTCTGTCAAAATCTTTCAGTAGTTTTTGTTTGAGTGATTACAGTACTTTCTCTATATTTTGTATTAAAGAAATTTTAGAAAGTAGACAATAAAACTAGCATCTAAACCATTCCCAGGAGGATTACATTGTACACCGTTAGAACATACACCATACACAGGAGGAACAAAATGGATATTCCCCAATCGATCTGAATGATATTTCAACCAATTGAAATTGAAATGGGTCTTTTAATTTTTGTTGGTACTTTATATTAAACCTCCAGAACATTTTTGTTTTTGTTTTAATGGCTCCAGATATTTTTTGTAAATTTTTTTACTGAAATAGAGGAAATTATATGTTAAAAAAAGACATAGGTCCAATTTTCTTTACCTTTTATATTTTCAAAAATTGCTTATGGTTACAATTTTGTGGACCCCTTCATAAAACTACATTATTAAAAAAATTGAATATTTTCTGAATGGCATCTGTTTTTCAAAATTAGATTCTGAAATAATGTAGGGTTCTCCCCCTCAGTAGTTTCCAGGTAGTTTTGAGTGAAATCAACAATAAGAAAAAACACAAACAAAATATTCTTTCTAAAAAATGGTCTCAATTTTTTAAAAAATGTTTTGCTCATGTAGAGTAAAGTTCCCTTAATAATACGTCTGTAAGATATATTATTTCCTTTGATTAAAAAGGGAAGGAGATGAGATGGATTCTAAAAATTAGAAATCCTTTTTTTTTTTTTTTTTTTTTTTTTTTTTTTTTTTTTTTTTTTTTTTTTTTTTTTTTTTTTTTTTTCCCTTTTTCTTTGCAAGGGCTCAAACAATCCACAAAAAAAAATATTAAAGCAGTTTTTTTAATATTGTCGCACTGTTAGTTAATGCCTTATTTGATGTGGCAAGACTCGGGCCATTAGGCCTGTTCTTCCGTCTGACCACGCAAATTTCATTACACTCCTTTCACTATCTAGCAGAGAAAAAGGTATTACCCAGGTGACAATACAGACAATTTGAATTTTGCTTAGAGGCTCCTTTTGGGTTTGAGGATCTTTTACACACAGTAAATCTACAACATAGGTCAGCCTGCTTTATTTCCCCTCCAAAAGAAGGATTTTTCTATCCCTCAGAAGTGCAGTGTTTCTATCAGGTTTGAACGCAAAAATTTGGGTACAAAAACCTCATGCTCTAACCGTTATACCACTGAACTCGCATAACTGTAACCTTCACCACTCATGCCTTTGTTTTACTTTATGGACTCATCGTAGAATGTCTAATATTGCAGGAAGTGAAGCTGTCATCTTGTCAGGATGGTTACTGTTCCCACCAGATGTTTGCTGGCTACTACTCGCGCAATGTGACTGTTTCAGTGCAACCTGTTCATAAGGAATGTCAAAGATTTTGCCACTCTTCGTCACCCATCATCAGAGTGGGTAAGACCAGGTTTTGTATGATACAGATAATTATGTTACAGTTATGCATGATACAGTTAAAATGACAATTCTTGGAGTAGGCAATCCCAGCAAGTGTTAGTTTGGTCTGGAGGGTTCTCACTGGATGATAGAGGATCTTTGTTATCGTCAAAATTAGATTGTGCGTGTAAAAGTCATAGAATGTGAGGGAATTTTTCCTTTTGTTGGGGATGTATATTTTAATAAAAAATTTTAAAAAATATTTACAAAAACTTCACATGTCATATATTCAAATGTCATTCATACTGATGTGCATTGCCTTTTTCAATGGCCACAGC